AGTCAGAATCGACTCAACAGCACTTTATAACAACATTATCCATGAAGTCTTAATTCACAAAATTCTTACTCCCAAAACCAAACCCACTGCCATCAAATAGATTTAGACTTATAGCGACCCTGGATAGGGTTTCCAAAGCAGTAAATCACTACATGAACAAAAAGCCTCATCTTTTTCCCATGGAGTAGCTAATAGGTTTCAACTGCCTACAGTTCGGTTAACAGTTTAGTGTTTATTCTACAGTGCCACACCAGGACTCCTTAAAATTTTTACAAAGTGGGTCCTTAATCACTATGTATTCATATCAACTTATAGCAAGAGTTTAAACAGCATTTTTGGTTTTTTTTTTTTGCTCAACTAACATATGAAAAAAATTTTAATATATGAAATTGCATATGCATGTGACTGTTATTAAAGCTGGTGTGGCACTGTAGGATAAGAACTGGACTGGACTTGCAAACCATAAGGTCAGCGGTTCAAACCCACCAGCTGCTGCTTGGAAACCCTGTATAGAGTCACTAGGAGTCAGAATTGAATTGATGGCAATTAACAACTACAAAATTTATTAAAGCACTAATTGTAATAGCAAATAACTGGAAACAACTCAAAAGACTGTCAGCAGGGCATTGGTGGGATGAAAATATTATAAATCTATAAGGTAGATTCCTGGTGCCTCTGTAAAATGGAATGTGAAAGTCTCTATACTACTCTATATGGAGTGATAACCAAACCACTGCTGGTGAGTCACTTCACGCTCATAGTGACCCTGTATGATGGAGTAGAACTGCCCCATAGGATTTTCGAGCCTGTAGATCTTTGTGGAAGCAGATTGCTGAATCTTTCTCCCACAGGGTAGCTGGTGGGTCTGAACTGTCAACCTTTTGATTAGCAGCCCAGTACTTAACCTACTGCAGGATACCTACTATTGAATGTCGTTGCTGTCGTTGTTAAGTGCTGTTGAGTTGGTTTTGACTGATAGTGACCCTGTATAGCGTTTCTGAAGAGCAGCTAGTAGGTTTGAACTGCCACCTTACACTTCAAATCGACCTTGCAGTCCAGTGCTCATCCTACAGTGCCACGCCAGGATCCCACCAACCAAATTAAAGGCTATAGATTTTTACTTAACTTTTCTAATTTTATATTGGCATTTCTTTTCTCTTACTCTAAAAATCTTAGTCTTTATTAATATGATCAAATGTACATATTTGTTTTCCTGTATGTAGTAGTTTGAAAATCACAATGCAAATATTACTATTAACAGATGATTTAATACAGTTTGAAATTTTTTCCTCTGTGTGTGTTTTAACCTTAGAATTTATCCCACTGATAAATAGTCAAAACACTATGCTTTTGAACATTGTAAACTCTTTGAGTTTTTGCTTTTAAAATATGTGCTTTCTGTTCCACCCACTGGAGTCCTCGTGTGGCACTGCGGGTTAATGCACTGGACTGCAAGGTCGGTTTGAACCGCAGGGTTGGTGGTTCAAGCTCACCAACTTCTCCACAGAAACCCTGTACAGGGTTGCTGTGAGTCAGAACTGACTCGAAGGCACTTAGCAACAACAATAACAATTCCACCCACTGAAAAGGTTAAGAAGTAATGATGACAGTTCAGTAACAGTGAGATTCCTGTACTGCAAATACAGGAACCAACTCAAGTCTTCTAACCAACCAACCTGTAGTTGTTAAGTGCCGTTGAGTTGATTCCAACTTATAGTGACCCTGTGTTGAGTTTCCAAGGAGCAGCTGGTGAGTTTGAACCACTGACTTTGTGATTCAAACTGACCTTGTGGTCCAGGCTTATCCTACAGTGCCTCACCAGGACTCCTCTTACCAGCCTAAGATGGGAATAATTTTGAGCAATCAAAATATGAAAATGATTACCGTGAACTGAAATGCAGTAAATATATAAATATTCAAGTTTAAGCGGCCATATTTGGTCACCTTTGTACCAAAATTTATAAATAAGGGGAATAATCCAGCATTTATTCTATAGAGGTTATATTTCATAGCCACTGAATAATCGATGAAGCAAAGTTCTTCATTGTAGGAGAATTAGTATAACTAATAAATGCAGGAGGAATAATACAATTAGAAAAGTCACCATTCTGCAGCTGTGGCACTGTAGTATCAGCAGTGGACTGTGGACCACATGGTCGGAAGTTCAAACCCACCAGCTGCTCATCGGATACCCTATACAGAGTTACTATGAGTTGGAACCAACTCAACAGCCCTTAACAACAACAACAAAAAAAAATGGGTCTAAGCAACAAACATCAATGTCTGCTAAAACTCTGAAGTGGAAGGTGGATCAAGAACTTTATCATGAAAGGGTCAAGCTGACATCATGTTGGACCCACTGATTAAGATTGGTGATGATGGTGGTGGTTTTGTACTATGGAGTTAGTCAGCAACCCTATATGGGGTTTCCAAGGCTGTAAATCTTTATGGGAGCAGAAAGCCTCATCTCATGAAGCATCAGCATCACTAAAAATAAAAAAGGAGCACATTCCAATATGATTAATAGGATTTGCACAGTGCCATCTATAATACATTCTTTTTTTTTTTTAATGTTTCATTGTGAATTATGTGATAGTTTACATGGGAGAACATTAGTTTTACATTTATCCTATTGTATATTGTTTCATTGCCATGGTTATAATCCCCTCCATGCATCATCAACCAACTAAAGGGTAGCCGCTCCTTCTCTCCATGTCATCGTCTCTGCCTCCATATCTGGTGACACTGCTTCTCTGGGTAGGGTCCCGCACTCCGCTCTTCTCCCTTGATGGTCCCAGGGACCTCTGCACTTGGACTGCAAAGTCAATCACTCCCCTCCTTTTGCTATAAAACATCTACCTTTACATTTCCAACCCTCACAGTCAGTCCTGATAGCAATTATTCACTATTGTACCACAAGAGACCTATACCCATCTCCTTTCATCAGCTCTGCCCAGACAGATTGGATACTACTCAGTGGAGATTCTACCTTCCCCTACGCCCACTGGAGCTAGGCTTCCTCTTGAAAGCTTGTAAGCCAGTCACTTCTTGCCTTTGTAGCACCCCCATTTTGGGTAGCCAATGTCCAAGTTGCCCATCCCAGCCTACCCTGTGTATCGAGGGGGTGGGAATGATCCTCAATGTAAAGATTTGTTCCCTCTTTTGAGCTACTGCAACCATAGGTGTAGGTCAAGTTCATCAAATTGTATCAGATTACTTTTTTTTTTCCTCTTCTTTCCTCTTCTACTTGAGTATAATACATTCTTTTTTTTTTTTTTTAATTAAATGTTTTTATTTTGGATTGAGTGAAAGTTTACAGGGCACATCATCAGCTTCACATTCAACCATTCATATAGCTTGTTTCATTACACTGATTATTATCCCCTCCATGTATCATCAGTTAACAGTGTTTCTCTCTATCCTCTTTAGCTTTTTTTTTTTTTTTTTTTTTTTTGATTGGGGAGGGGGGGGATAATAATACATTCTTGCACAAAAGAAACTGACCTTAAAAAGAAAAATAAATTGACCTTGAATCTAATGAAAACTCTAGATCCAGCTACACTATAATGTAGAGAAAATATGGAGGATAGAAGAACATGTTAAATGACACTATGAGTTTATAACCAGCTGTTAGAAATGAATTCTGATGTTGTGTAAAAGACACTTGGTGAGACTAAATTACCTTGGCAAAGCAAAATTTACTCCTGCAGGAGGGTGTGTGCGCATAGCCATACATACAGGAACAGGCCAGCGAACACACTGAGTGGGCAGTCCACTCAGGTTTTTAATCCCTAACACGTCTTAAGGCTATGTCTCACCCCATTGGCTAGGGCTTTGACCACACAGTCTTTTCCCTTACCCAGTTGGCTAGTTCAGATTTCTAAAGCACACATTCCTGTTTTAGGAAAGGAAAAAGAAAGATCGTAAAGTCTTTACTCACTTCAGGAAGTAGTCAAAGAAAAAGAGGTCATAAAGTCTTTACTTCAGGAAATAAAGAAAAAAAGAAAGGTTACCCAAATACAATAAACAGGATTATAATAAATATATATGTGGGATTTTTTTTTCCACACAGCCAATCAAGTATATGGACTAATGTTATAGCAAACTTTACAAGATGAATAATCCAATTTCTTCAATAAGTAAATGACAATAAAAAGAGAGGAGCAGTGAACTATAAGAGAATGAAAGACACATATTAACCTAATGCAATGTGTGGACCTTGTTTGGAGCCTGGTTCAAACAAACAATTAAAAAAAAGAGAGAGAAATTTTTAATGGCAATCCATGAAAATTAAACAAGGACTGTATCAAATGATATTAAAGAATTCTTTTTTAAGTCCTTCTCAGAGATGCATGGAGTCCTACTGTGGCACCGTAGGATAAGCACGGGACTGCTAACCACAAGGTCAGCAGTTAAAACACTCTTCAGAAACCCCATTTAAGGTCGCTATGAGTTGGAACTGCCTCGACAGCACTTAATATCAACAACATCAGAAATGCATACTAAGATATTTAGGGGTGAGATCAATGATCGCCCAGGTCTTACCCCCACTCCCCCAAATAAATGAAATAGGACGGGGATGAGGGATAGAATAATAGGAAGTTAATGATTATAGAAGCTGGATGATCGGTAAAGGTGGGCTTACTGTGTGCTTTTCTTATTCTTTTTATATGTATTTCCATAACAATTTTTTAAAAAGTTAAATGAAGTCCTCCCACTAGATTATCTCAGATTAGCTCGGATCATTATAGCAGTGCGTTCTCAGCAATATTTTAGATTTTAGATGAGAGACTTAATTTATACGAATGTTATATTTGTGGATTTCAGGGGAGAAAGTGTCTTTGTTGTAGCTTGACTAGAATATCTTTACTTTTCAACTTTCCATCTAGTTAAATTTACAAGTAGTAAAATTTCTTCATAGAAAGAACGAACATTGCTTAGGTACAGTGTTGTTAACAAGCTTACCCCAAAATACACTGACATTTTACCCTCTTTTTTAGATCAAGCCACCCTGGTAGAACAAGTAAAAAGAGTAAAAGAAATTGAAGCTATTGAAAGTGATTCTTTTGTTCAGCAGACATTCAGATCAAGTAAAGAAGTTAAAAAGGTAAGTTTTCATCCAGACGTTATGAATAAACCTTTGGATTCCAACTGCAGAGATGCTTTTTTAATGGATTTTGCTTAAATACAAGTGCTTCTAATAGATGAAGTAGGGTGAGAGAACCCAAGTATGTTAAAGAAAGAATCGATGAGAATCACTTCAAGTTTAATAGCATTTTTATTTTAAATTCACTGAAAAGACAAAGTAAGATGTCAACATGGCAGTTCTGTAATAGTAATACATATTTCATGAGCATATACAGTTTTCTTTTCAAATGTCTATAACTACTTTTTGAACTGACATTATTAGAGAGAACGTTAGACAAGGACTTTAAAAATAAAACATTACCCAAATATATATATATATATATATATATATATATATATATATATACTGGTGACAATAACCTCATACCATGTGAAAGCTGAACAGTGAATAAGGAAGACCGTAGAAGATTTGATGCTTTTGAGTTATGGTGTTGGAGGAGAATATTGAAAGTGCCATGGGCTGCCAAAAGAACCAACAGATCTGTGTTGGAAGAAGTGCAGCCAGAGTGCTCCTTGGAGGCCAGGATGGCCAAAATTTGTCTCTCATTCTTCAGACATATTGTCAGGGGAGACCAGTCTCTGGAGAAGGATATCATGTTTGTTAAGGTGGAGGGTCAGAGAAAAAGAGGAAGACCCCCAGCGAGATGGATTGGTAAAGTGGCAGCATCAATGGCTCAAGCGTGGCAACAAATGTGAGGTTGGCCTAGGACCAAGCAGTGTTTCATTCTGTTGTGCGCAGGATCACTATGAGTTGGTACCAACTCATCAGCACCTAATAACAACAGCAACACTGGTCACAGCCTTGAAAACCCAATAGAGCAGTTCTACTCTGTACACTTGGGGTTGCCATGAGTTAAAATTGACTTGACTGCAACTAAGTCACTTATTCAACTCTAGTTTTATTTCTTTTGAATGTTTTGTGTATTTTTTTCACTCACTAACAGGACTGCTTTTAGGAATTTATGTTTCTTTTTTAGGAAAAGGTTTTCTATGAAATGCAAGTATATGTATTTTTTTAATAGCATGCATATTATGAAGACATGGTTATAGTTACCACTTATTCAAATGTATTCTCCATCTGTTAATGTACAAATGGCTTCATAATATCCTGCTGATAAATGAATCACAATTGATTTATTTGTTGTCTGTGGTTTAATACTTAAGTAGTTGTAAGTTTGGAACTGTAACACACATCTTTGTAAATGTACATTATTATCACTGTAAAATACATTTTTAAGATCAAGTTGTTAGGTAAAGGTCATTGTTGTTTATTTTAGTACACTTTGCCAAAGTCATCCTCCAAAACCTTGCATCCTTTCCAATTTCCACCCAGAAGTACAAGGCGATGTCTGCCTCTCACACCGTGGTCAACACCAAGTCCAATTCAGTTTTTTGTGTTGATTTATTTAATATGTAAAAACTGATCTGTTATTTTCATTGTTACTGTTGTTAAGTGCCATCAAGTCAGTTCTGACTCATAGCAACCCTGTATAGTGTTTCCAAGGAGCGGCTGGTGAACTTGGACTACTGACCTTGTGGTTCAAACAGACATTACAGTCGAGTTCTTATCCTACAGAGCAAAACCAGGACTCCCTTATTTTCATTAGCATTTCTTTTATCACAATGTTTTTTTCAAAAGTATTCCTTCAATTACCATGTTCTTCTAAAAATAATGCCTTGAGGAGATATGAAGTGAGCATGTGCAGCATACTAGGGACAGCACTAGACGGCCTGCATCACCCCTGGTTCCTGCTTTATCAATCTCTGGTTTTCATCTTCACTTTTTTGTAATTTGCCACTTGTTGTTAAGTGCCATCAAGTTGGTTTTGACCCTTAGCAATCCTGTAAAGGTTTTCAAGTAGTGGCTGATGGGTTTGAACCACCAATGTTTTAGCTAGCAGTTCAGTGCTTATCTTACAATGTCACGTCAGGACTTTAATTTGCAAGTACAACTCCTGAAAAATGGACCTGTAAATTGTACATAAATATAGTTGCCCATTAGCTTAGTTCTTGTTCTTGTATATTATAAGGCCTTCCATGTGTTCTAATAGAATTGTAATTTATTTTAATATTTGTTTTCCTATTATATATTTCCTGAAGTTCACCCTGACTTTCTAGTTCTCTTAGGTTCTCTTATGATAAGCATTTTCCTTATATGAAATTACTTATTTCTGTATAGTTTATTATCCTGAAGTTTTAATCTAACCAAATTTTTCCTGCTTGAAATTAAGTACTAATGTTTCTCTTTTAAATTTATCTTTAATCTAGTGCCTCTTTTCAAAATTACTAGAAGCTCTTCCAGTAATTGAAGGAGCCTGGTGGTGCAGTGGTTAAAGTGCTCAACTGCCAACCCAAATGTCGGCATTTCAAACCCACCAGCCACCCCACAGATAAATGACATGGTGTCTGTGTCCATACACTCTGGAGTAGCTCTGCTCCATCATATAGTTTTGCTGTGAGTTAGAGTTGACTCAGTGGATTTGGTTTAATAATTGATGAGCAAATTGATTAGAATTTGGCTTGATGTAGTAGCAAGAACATCGGTATTGGACTCAAGAGATATCTGGATTTGACTCTAACCTCCCAAACTTTCTACCATGGTTTATTACCTCGAGCCAAGGTCTCTCCAGCATTTTGGGCCCCAGTTTCTAAATCTGCCAAAGAGAGTTAGTAATACCTACACAGTTTTTGTGATGAAGTTTTATGACTATCAAACATCTGGCATAATTCCTGGTCCATTAAATGTTTATTTTAAAATAACACACTCTAATATCTAACTTGGAATCCCTGGGTGGTACAAAACGTTAAGCACTCAACTACTCACCAGATAGTTCAAACCCACCCTGAGGCACCTGAAAAGAAAGTCTGGCAATCTGTTTCTCAAAACTCACAGCCTTGAAAATGCTATCGAGCCGTTCTTCTCTATACACATAGGGTCCCCAGGAGCCCAATCAAATCAACAGCAACTAACCACAGTGAAGTATCTAAATGATTTGATCTATCAGAGTAAATTCTGTAAACTAAGCATAATTCTAAAACCTACTGCTCTTTACTTAAGAAAATTTTATTGTGCACTGAGTAAATGTTTACAGAGAAGATCATAAGTTTTACATTCAAGAAATTATACACTTTGTTTCAACTCAGTGATTGCAATCCCCTCCATGTAACAATAGTTACCGGACTTCCTCCATGTGTTTCTTATTTCCATTCCACCTTCCTTCTCATTCCTTCTCAAGTTTGTCCCTTTGTCGGTAGGTAAATGTTACGCTTTTGATCTTGAATGGGGAGCATGTCTCACTAATGCTATTGTCCCCTCTATATATCTATCTACTACTGCTTAGCTGAAGATTAGGTCACAAGACTGAATTCCAGTCTAGACCTGAAGGGTGTCCAAGGGCCACAGTCTCATATTCCTCCAGTCTCTTTTTGATCAGTAAGCCCAGTCTTTTAAAATAATTTTGAAAAAATAATAATAATAATAATTTTGAGTGTTATTCTATATTTTCTCCATACTATCTGGGACCTTGTAATGTAATCCCTTTCAGAGCAGTTGGTAGTGATAGCCGGGCACCATCAAGTTTTTCTGGTCTAAGAGTCATGGTGAGTGATGTTCACATACTCCATTGCTCTGTTGGACTAGTTGATTCCAAGCACCTTCAATTTTTATCACTCTTATTTCTTCTGTACATGGAGGAACCAGTAGTTGCACAACTCATGAGCTTTTAAGTTCTCAGTTGCTAATCAACCAAAGTAGGGTGAAGACATTGTCTTTGTGGAGTCTGTTATGCCAATTGACCATGGTGTCCCCTGAGGCTCTGGTCCTGAACTCCCAAGCCCAGCAACTCATCATTGCCTCAAGGTATTTGGTAATGTCCAAGTCATTTTCATAATTTTGTCCCCTGTATGTTCCACCACATTCATAGATGTGTTTACAGCAAAGGTAAATACCCATGTACAAACATCATCTGTCGAACCCTTATATATTTGTGTGTGTGTGTGTATATATATATATATCTGGCAGCACAGTGGTTACGAATCAGGCTGCGAACCACAAGCTTAGCAGTTCGAAATTACCAGCCACTCCACAGGAGAAAGATAAGGCTTTCTGCTCCCATAAAGATTTATAGCCTCAGAAACCCTGTCCAGGGTCGCTATGGGTCGGAACCGACTCAATGGCATTTAACAACAACATTTTATATATATACACACACACAAATGAGGTGTACTCTCACTCTCCCTCCCATACTTGTTCAACCTGTGTATCTGGCCATGTGTTTACCCATTGAACTTGTTGCAGGGTTTTATATATAACAATATTTACCTCTATCCCCTTTAGCCTTTGCATTCCTGTCTGTGTCTTCACTTGCCTTCATCATTCTTCTTTCAACCTTCCTCTTCTTGTGTATTACCATTCCTGTCACCCAAGTTAGCATCTGTCTACCCTCTAGCCAATGGATTACTCTCCCTTACATGCCAGCCCTGGTAACCATCAAAGAATGTTCTTTTAGCATGAAAATCTTTTCTTGAGTTTTTACAGTAGTGGTCACAAACAATATTTGTTCTTTTGTGATTGGCTGACTTTATTCAGGACTCCTGGTGTAGTACTGTAAGATAAACATGGAGCCACAGGTCAGTTTGAACTTCAAGGTCAGTGGTTCAAACTCACCAGCTGCTCCTTGGAAACCCTGTATGGGGTCACTATGAGTCAAAACAGACTCAAAGGCACTTAACAACAACAACAATTTCATTCAACATAATGCCCTTCAGATTCATCCATATTATGAGTTGTTTCACAAATTCATCATTATTCTTCAGTGTTGCATGGTATTCCCTTTGTGTGTATATACCAAAGTATGTTTATCCATTTCTTCCATTGATGGGCATTTAAACTTTCTCCATCTTCTTTACAGTGTAAATAATGCTGTTTTGAGCATGGGTCTACATTTATGTACGTGTTTC